GCACTGACACCCAATTGGAGTCAGAGCGTACTTTTTTCGAGAATGAATTGTTGAATGCAGTTACGCTGTGGAAAATCTTTTTGCTTCAGGAAAGAAGCTAAGAAGTAATCGAGATACAATTATGACGATTCTCAACGTGGCCGAAAAGAATAATCTCAATAACAATGTTGCCCCGAAACGATTCAACGCTCGTTCTAAACGGAAGAAATGATGCCAGATCGCCGAGCAACTGCTCTCGATTCATTGTTATGTTGATGTCAATTTCTGATAAATCGTTTGATTATTTGGTCAATGTTGCATGAAAACCAGACACCGTAGTTTGCGATTGCCTCACTTCCATTCGATTCCCACCCTGTCCCACCTGGAGTACTTGCAAGAAGGGGCCAAGATAATGCAGCCCTAATATGATTGCCCAAAAACACGTATAAACTCAATCTGACATACCAAAAGCGTCTGATGTATCAACAATACCAAAGGCTGAGATTATTATTGCATTTATCTCAGACTTAGAATTTTTTTGCAGATAAAAATTTAAAGAATTTATCCTACGACTATTTTTCACATAAAAAAAAAAAAATTATAAACCACGGTAAAATTTCGCATCAGATTTCCGACAGTTTATAAAATACCTAAATTTAAATTATGCAATACCCCACTCCTTGCCCTGACTTCTTGATTCTTGACGTTCACTCCCACTCTTAAATCCCGTCTCTATGGCTTCCTGCATTTTTTAGATCAATGCTCTCTTACTGAACTGCCGTTTATCAATCTTTAACAGGCTTTAAAACGTACGCAACAGTGGAAAAGACAAACAAACAAAATTTTATTCACGATTTTTCAGAGAAATTTTCCAAAAACATAACATATTTAGCAACGAATTATCTTCGACCAGCTAATGCAGCAGTGGTGGATTTGTCCGTCATTGGAATACTCAGTTCCTGTAAGAATTACTTGTAACTTTTAATGGCCGAAAATTTCAAAAAAAAAAAAACGAATTCAAATTTTTCTCCGAATAAATCTGATTTGATTATTCTTAATAATTTATAATCGAAAATTAAAACACAAAT